GTTAGGCATCCCTTGGCAACTGTGTGACATTCCCCATCATTTCTCATCTGTCTTCAAGCCTCCAATCTGGTAGTAAATTGTAGCATATTTAGTTTAAAGGAGATTACCAAAGACCCCTGCAGTTAGGTTCCAGTACTCACCTGCCCAGTATACAATGCAAGCCTGAGGGAAAAAAACATACTAAGAGACAGAACAAAGAGAGAGGAAGTGGGGTACCAGGACAACCAATGTGGGTGCAACCGACACAGTCCCAGGCACTGACTTTTATTGGGAATCAATTGGGGTAAAGGCAAGCTACATGCAGTTTCTATGGAAATTAATGCAAACAAGGCTTACAAAACACAAGACAAAGCATTCTCAAATTAGGAACAGAATAGACAAAATATATGGTTGTAATTAGAACATTGTCCTTCTAGTCAGGCGGTTTTAGATGTGGGTGCAAGTTACTCTGACCTTGGCACATGGGCTTCAGCCACATTCACTTCTATAAACAAGCCAATTGTGAGATTAACTCTTTACAGCCTGCTTTGGGCATAATCAGTATTACGGTCCTCTGAAGGAGATGCTGCTTGCTAAAACACTGAATGAAGATCAGCAGACAGAAAGCAGAAAAATATGAGAAATATAAGAAATGTAAAGAAAATAACTATAATATAACACAGAAATATAATTATATATAATTAATTATATTTATATAATATGTGAATATAATTACAATTAATATAATATAAAGAAAATACAAGAAAAATCAACAGCTTGGGGTTTAATAAGAGCTGGAAGTTGTTCCATCTACATTTAATTTTCTGTAATTTAGTCAGGTCATGTGGCCATTTCATCTAAATAAAATAGGTTCCTAGTTCAAAGACTGAGCTGACAAGCACACTAGGGCTACTTAAGAGGTTCTTCAGTTCCACAGTCAAATTTCTCATTGCCTTTTTTACACAACATACAAGTGGTTGCTTTGAAAAATCCTGAAACCCACTGAAAGACAAACCCAGACAACATTTTCCCTATAAGTAAGCTAGCTACTCTGGGCCACCATGCAACAGGTCTAAATTTCAGCTAAGATCACATTAGATCTGATTTAGTCCTTTGTATATTCTTGGTATTCTCAAAAGAAATCTGTATTCCAGTTCCCATGGAATTGGAATGCTGTGCAAAGGCCATAAAGGCCATTTACTTTTATAATTAAGAACCTCTCTAGAAGAAAAAGTTTAAGGTCATTGAGCGTTCCTTGTCAAACAAGCGAGCTATGACTGAAATAAAAAGTTTGAATCACATATTTTATTTATATCAATAATTTTAATTTAAAGCCAAATTAATTGGCTTCATTTGTTATTTAATTCTACATTTCTTCCCTGGAGTCTCAGATATGTTCTTGGGAGCCACATGGAATAGTTCATTGATTTGTTCTTAAATCAAAATTTCAGACTGTCTTTTGTTAATAAGACGGGTTACAGAGCAAACATGAGAGACATTGGCCCTTGCATTCATGGAGCTTAGAACCCCCCAGTGAAGGACAGTCAGATCACAAAGGTTGACTTTGCTCTGCAGGTCTCTGGATTATAAACTGAGAAGCCTTTGGCTGTGCCTCCTGACAGAATAAGTTGAACATCTTTTCTACATGAGATCCCTTCAAATATTTGAGAAGAGTTGTGTCATACTTCCTGAGTCTTCTACTTTCTATCAATAATCCCAATGTAGTATATAAGACCTAAAACTTAATTTATGTTCCTTTGCCATATTTTGTGTACACCCTTTGCACATATACTCCCAGTGTCAACTTCTCTGTTAATGTGCAGAGGACTAGAAATGAGACGTGTTCCTACCCCAGTGATAAAGAATAATCATCCTTATGTCAGATACCTCACATCTTTTAACATAAACTAAGGACATTAATATTCTAGGCTCATATTGAGCTTGCAATGAACTGTAGATTTGAGTTTGTTCATTCTACCATCTCAGACAGTATCTTCATATCTTCTTTGCTGCTATTATATATTTATGTCTCTTCCCTCACTGAGCTCAGCTCTTTAAATGGCTTATCTGTCTTTGCATCTCTAGTACTAAGCCCAGCTCCTAACACATGGCCCATACTTAGAAGAAACTTTATTTCAGAGGATGAATAAATGAGTCATTCACTCCATTATATTACCCAGGGTACATTAGTCCCAAAGTTACCACAAAAGATATGTGATCCCTTTCAGCTGAATCCATCATCTCTAGTAATTTTCCAAAATGACAAACACAAAAACAGCAAGGAGAGCCACTGCTATGTCTTCTAGGCCTTTTAGAAAACAGGGGTTTTCCCTTTGGTCATATATATGTGAATCTACAAGAAAGGCGATATTGTAGACATTAAGAGAATTCAAAAAGGAAGGCCCCATAGACATTACCATGGTAAAACTGGAACAGTCTATAGTGTTACATTGTTGTAAATCAGCAGATTCAGGGCAAAATTTTTGCCAAGAGAATGAATGTGTGTGTTTAGCATGCGAAGTACTCAGAGTTGAAATAGCTTCTTGAAATTCATAAAGGAAAAATAACAGAAAAAGTAAGAAATCCAAGAGAAAGTTATCTGGGTTCAACTGAGGCACCAGCCTCATCTGCCCAGTGAACCACACTTTGTAAGAATCAATGGGAAGGGCCGGGATGTAGCTCAGTAGTGCAGTGACTGGCAAGCATGAGGTCATGAGTTTGATCCCCTGTGGGAGGTGGGGGATCAATGGGAAGAAACCTGAGCAGCTGGAACTTATTCTCTATGAATTTGTGACATAGTAGGTAGAAAAACTGAAAGACCTCTGGACTGAAAAAAAAAAAAGAGAGAAAGAAAGAAAAGAACCCCCCCCCCCCGCAACACACACACATTTAATGAAATGTAAGCTTATAGCTATACCAGTTCTGCTACCTTCTGTTTTGGGTAAAAGTAACTCTATCTTTCTGGGGCTCAAAATTCCCATATGTAAGTTAGTGATGTTTATCAAGATTAATAAAAGGAATGATATATGTAAATGTGCTTTACAAAATGGCAAAGTGTGCAAATGTGAGGTATAAACATTTCCTCATTCCAGAAATCTTATCAAAAAAAGGAAATTAAATTTATTGACCTTGCAAAGGCATATGGTTTGTGGCTTCCATGTAGGGGCAGAAAGTGAGGCCTCTGGAAAGGGTGGCAGAGGAAGGTTAAAGCAATGGAGCCTGGAGCCAAATTCACCACAATATTCAGCTCCCTCACACGCTGAAGGGCTCTGAGGAAAAACTGGTGTTTGTAGTTCCAGTTTGGACGCAAGATATTCCAAAAGGCAGGTCGATGGGCTTTTTGGGAAGTGATTGGATCAAGAGGATACTAAACCTCATCAGTGGTTCATCCTCTGAAGAGTTCACAGCTGAATGGGCTATTTGCTATTAGGTGAAGCCTAGTTGGAGGATGTAGGTCACTGGGGGAACCTTGGATCTACATCTTCTCTCCTGCCCTTCTCTCTCTCTCCCTTCCTTTCCCTCTCTCTCTCACTCTCTCCCCCTCCCTCTCCCTCCCTCCCTCCCTCCTTTCCTGTGTGAAGTGAGCCACTTGCTCCATCACATGTTTCCAAGCATGATTTTCTTCTGCTTCACCATGGACCTAGAAGTAATGCAGACAAGTGACCATGGATTAAAATCTCTGAAAACTTGAACCAAACTAAACCTTTCCTCCTTTAAGTTCTTTTATGGGGTATTTTGTAACAGCAAGTGAAAGCTGACTAACACATCTGTTATCCAAGGCCTTCCCTTTTGGCTGGCCTTTGGTGTTCTCCCAGTTCCATGTTGAAGGGGTCTAGACTGGGTCTCTCAAAGATCTTTTAGATGGTCCTGTGGAACATCTTCAGCAGGTCATCAAAGATTCACACCTTGTGAATGAGGGAAGAAAACCAGAGAGATAAGCAGAGAGGCAGCCCTTCCCTACTGACTGGGTACTAGCTTGTGCAAGGTTTGCTCAGCTATAACAAGACATCAATGTGAGAAACCAGTTGCTTGTTTTATGGTCATCTGTTTTCCTGTGGCTGAATACTGTCCTGCATTTTCATATTATTATCTTCATGACATTATAAGGAGAGACAACAACATGTAAGGTGACTCATTCAAATAAAGAGGCAGGTCCTCAGCCATGTGGGTTCAGGAATTTGAAAGGTGGGTTTCAGCTTGGCTGGAGAACCCATTTCCCCTGCAATCTTCCTCTCCTTTATTTCCAAAGAGGTTAGTAGCATTTGAGGACACTTAAGGATAGAAAAGAAAATCTGCCTTTGCCAGGAAGAAACAGCTAGCCCTTTAGAGAAATCTGAGTCATGGACAGTATCTTATAAGCCAATTGGTTCAGCTTGTTTATGAGTCTTTATCTTCTTTGCCACTATATCTCCAGCACCTAGTGCAGTATCTGACATACAGCAGGCTCTCCAAAGAATGTGTGTTGAATATACGAGTGCACCATTTTGTACTATTTATGGTCCCTTGGCCAGAGGTTTAAATAGGCAACATGTCACCTTTCCATGATGTTAACAAATGCCTTAAGTAATCAACTTATAAAGAGAAAAAGGCTATTTTGGCTCACAGTTTCAGAGCCTCCAATCCACATCCATCAACCCCATTGCTTTTGAGCATGTTGCAAGGCACCACCACTTCATGGCAGGGAACACAAGACAGAGCAAAGGTGCTCACCTTGTGGCCAGAACACAAAAGAGAAAGAAAGAGGAATTGACTCCTCTCCAAGGGCACATACCCAATGATCTAAAGCCTCATAATAGGCCCCATCCTGGGTGAAGCTGCCAACACATCAGCCTTCCAGAAATATGTAAGATCCAGACTATCGGAAGCAGCCACGGTTCTCCAGGCTGGCTTCAAGATAGGGGATAGTTACAGAGTGGTTTGTCAGATAACTGGACAGGAGGATCTAGCTTCTGAATTCCACCTTGAGATGACCGTCACAGTTACCTTTAGCTGATTTTAATAAGGTAGGCTTACCCCAACTACCAGTGTACAAAGAGAAACGACCTGCTGTTCTGCTATTGCTCCATTCAGATGGACAGTGCTCAGCAACAGAGAAGCCCGAATGCTCAAAATGAGCCAATAATAAGCCAGGGGAGGGAATTCAGGAATGGGTGGACCTTTCCTTGAAAAGGGGCTGGACTGTAATTAGCATCAGGAACTTAACTCTGAAAACTGTTTTCTTTTTATATGTCTGAGGAGGCTGGGTTTTATTCCTAACCTTTGACTTAATTTCTTTTTTCTTTTTTTCCTTTTTTTTTTTTTTTTTTGGTGCCAGGGATCAAACTCGGGTCCTTGCGCTTGCAAAGCGGGCAGTGGAACCACTGAGTTAATCCCCAGCCTTGACTTAATTTCTTGTTTGAAACTCCCTCAAGCCTTGTTGGCACAAAGGAAGAGAAAAAGCTTTGTCCTGTCCAGTGGTGATGCAGAGAAGGGCTGGGTGAGTCTGGGGGTGGGAGTGGGTGACCACAGACAAGCTGGTTCTGCTCAAGATGAGTGAGCTGAAAAGAGCCTCTCTGCTCCTGGAGCCTCCCTGGGAGGGATGGGGGAGGACAGAACATCCCCGCCCTGTGAGTCACCTCCTATTTCTTGCTGAAGCCTTGGAGATGTGAAGACAGCCGAAGATCCTCAGGAAAGTTCCCTTGGTAAGTGACAAAGGGCTGTAGTGTGGCTGGCAGGCTGTGCCCTTCCACTGCTTCTCACGCTGCGGGGCACTAGCTAGTGCTGGGTACGTTGTGTTAGTGCCTAGCTCAGTCCAGGGCGCTAGGATCTTTGTCTCAGCACTGGGGAGAATACTGACCATGCGCTTAGTAACTGAATCTCAGGAAATTCTAAATGCACTCGGCGGTGTTGGCTCCAGTCCGAGGGTGCCACGGGACCGGCCACCTGGGGAATTGCGCGTTCTGCGATGTTTTCTCAAGAGATGGCGCCACAGTCCTTCGCTGCACCCTGGCTGCCCACCTTCCCCAGCCAGAATACCGCAAAGCCCAGGGACAGAGCTGTCCCCTGCCTGGCGTGGACACCCACGCGCGCTGAACTGTAGAGCGTGCCCGATGACGTCGGTGTCTAGCGATGCCTCTCACTCGGGTCTCCCTGCAACCACACCTGCGCGCCCTCCCAAGGGTTATTTGTTGGGCTGTGGTTGCTTTTGGTGCCTTAGTGGGAACGCCCAGGGTAGAGACTTGGCTGGTGACCTGTGGGAGACGAGAGATGGGCTGAGTTGGAAGCATCTTTGGCCTTGAGAACCCCTAACGAAGCTCTGAGTGGCCACCAAACTCAGTGATTAAGGACTGTCAGGGACTGGAGGGGCCGTTTAGTGGCAGAGCGCTTGCCTAGCAGGCGGGAGGCCCTGGGTTCAATGCCCCAAACCTGAGAGGGGCTGTCTGGCTGTCAGGTCCGAATGCCTTAGGGATTGGGAGTGAGCAGGCCGTTAAATCCTGGGGGAGGTCCGTGGCCTTCTCTCTTTCAGGGAGGCGGCGGCCCTGGGGGCCGGGCGTGCAGCGCCAGTTGGGTTGGGGCGGGTTGCCCAAGGAGGAGCGTTGCGCGAGGCTGCGCGCTTTCTGCAGTGAACTGCAGGGGCTCAGCAGTCTTGGCTTTTGGCTCTGCAGGTCCGTCTGAGGTCAGGGATTCGGTATCCGGCGTTCTGGAGGATTCAACTCGGAGGAAGGTGGTGCGCAACTTGCGCCTGCTCTGAGCGCAGGACGCTGAACCCGGAAGGAGCCGATTCCAAGCGCTGGAGTGAGTTCCCGGAGATCCAGGAGAGGGCGGTGTTCGCCAGTCCCTTCCCGGAGAGCAACCTGCAAATGGGAATGTCGAGGGGGAGGGAGAGCTGCACATGTGGGAATGGAAAAATTTGGACCCCAAGGTCTTCCTCTCGGGGGCTCTGGGAGACCCCAAGGCACGCTGTTACACTCGCTTTCCTAGTGGGACGAGTGTTCGAGGCCAGCTTTCCAGTTTTCGTTCTCCCGTTCTTCCCCGCCAGCACTGACAGCCCTCCTGCGCTCCCCCGGTCCTGGACCCAACCTTTCCCTGAAGGAGAGCAGCGATCTGAAGGACCCCAAAGGCAGAAGCTTCGTTGTGTACAGTTTGTAGTTACCGTTCTCTTCATCCATATCACAGGGACATCATCACATAGTGTTTGGCAAGGGCAAGGCAACGCTGATGTGCGCGGACTGGAGCCTGAACCTGAGAGCTCCCTGTGTAAGATGCACACCTGTAGTCCTTGGTCTGGCCCTGGAGAACGTTCTGGGGAGGGAATGTGTTAGGAGACAATCTAACAAACAAGAGCCCCATTCCAAACCGTTCCCCAAACTACTTTAGGAAAAGTCAGATTAGACGAAATTCGAGGCTCCTAAATCGTTAAGCTCCTCTGATCGGCTCCTAGAGTCTTAAGCCCTGTAGTTTATTGTTTGTCTTTGAAACCATTATCTGCCCCTAAGTGCCTAATTTTTTAATGGGAGTCCTCCAGCATATACCAATACAGGTTGTGTAGCACTCAAACAAGTATGTCCACAGTCAACTACTGTCAACCCCCCCACACAATGTGCTTTATTTTATTAAAGAAGCCCAGTAAGATTTCCAATCTAAGAAATCTTATTGCACATTCTTGAAAATTCAGTAAATAAATAATTTTCGTGGAATATGTACATTGCCAATCTGTTGGAGGAGACCAGACCTGAGGACTTTTCAACCTTCAATAAAAAAGAAGAGGACTTTACAGCTGGGGTGAAAAAGGGCTCATGAGCTGAGCCAATAGGGCAGCATGGCTTTACTATGTGCGGAAGCATTCAGACACATGGCGGCCCTTTCACAATAAAACTTTATTGATGATCGTTTGAAAGTTATGGCAACTCCAAGGTTATAAAACTTGTCATAAAATACCAAGCAGTCATTAGTTTACCTGACCTCATTTCAATATAAAGTTCCACAAAACATTTTATTTTGTTCCTTTCTATAAGTGGAGAAAAGTAGTTAAACACAGCAGCCTATTACTGAGGACCCAAGATCTGCAATTTGACATTTTGACCTTCATATCTGCAAATAAACAGTGATATTCACATTCTATTTTTGTGTAAATATGATCACAAAAATGAAAATAATAATAATTGTCCATTTCTGGATCATAACCTAAGTTGGATGTAGAGTTGTTCTTCATTGGAAAATCTGTGATTTACCTCTAAGAGTTGTTACAGAGTGTTGTTTTGTTCCCTGAGCAAGGCATTAGAAATCGAAAAAGCAAATGACCACACACTATCTGTCATGTGACCTGAAGACAAATATTCATTTGGTATTTAGAAGTATTGAGAGGTCAGATGAATAATCATAATAATCAACAACCTCCCACTTCCCAATCATGAATTTAAAGGAAGGCAGCTACCCTAGAAAGATTGGCACTTAGAACTATACTGCAGAAAAGAACCTACACTGACATTCCAAGAAATCTGCAGGAGGTTAAGTATTCCAGACTCTAATGTCAAAACCATCATTGTTTATGGTACAGCTAGCTCACTGTACGTGTGGACTTAAGCCATGGATCAGAGGACCAGCCACAGAACACTGATAACAGAATACCTTTTCATCTCCCAAGATCCACTTTTGATTGGCTGAAGCCCATATTCCCTGAATGCTGTATAACTAGATCAATCTACCTGCTTTTAGGGCAAAGGGATTTGTGAGCAAGTACAGATGGCAAGGCTGACCTTGTGTTAGCTGCATGCTAATTTCTCCCAAACATGTAAAGGTCTGGATATACTTTTCATGGATTGTTTAAAAATATAAGCTCCAAGATAGATCCAGGCATATATGCATTTATGGTGGTTTAGGAATCTAAATGAAGAAAGCTAACTGCTTTATGACCTCACTGGAACTCACCGTGGTAATGTTATGCTTAGTTTCCTGGTATGCCTTAAAATATTTCAGGGATTTCATGGAATTTTAACTAGAAAAGAACATTTAAAAATCAAAATCTCATGTAAAATGCTGCTTTATTCTATGGGGTATGTAGGTGTGTGAATGTGTGTATGTTTATTAGAGAGAAAGGTAGCATCTCAGAAAAAGAGCTAGAGAGGAGTTAAGAGAAAAGATAGATAACTTACTAGGAAAGAAAGTCTTTCTGGTATCCACATCTTCCCCTGGTTGGTGGGTACAGATTGCAGTCATTTGAGTTAACATTTTACACTTCCAAGTTCTTAGCCACAAGAGATACCATGCATCAAAAGAAAGACTGTGTTTCCCTCAAGCTAGTACTGACTTTCACAAAGGACAAGGAAAAAGCCTGTGGCCCTACAAAGCAGCCTTTAGGCTGAATGCAGTACCTTTATCAGACTAAAGAAGCAAATAAGGGGTCTAAACTCAGTCATTTGAGCTTGGGTCATTTCTGAAAAGCTCATGCAGTGGGTTAACTTCAGAGATAAGTTGGCAAATTGACCTTATAGAGTACATTAAATGAATTTATTATGATACAAATGCATTTAATACATTTTATAGGATTAACAGGAGTGAATTTAATTTATTATATCTATATTCCTTGGCTATTAATCTCAGCATCCATTTTGCTTTTTCTAGATGCCTGGATGAATTGATGTATAGGAGAAATAGGTTTACATTTTAATCTGTGACAAAAGTATCTTCTTCATCCCCCTTCATCATCCTTTTCAGAGTAACTTTTCTTCACCTGAGAAATGCTATTCAGACTCATTGTATTGACTTTCATTATTGTCACATTAATGGATTGTGAATGATCTCTGTTTAGCTCTAGCTAAGCTTTATATTTACAGGCAGGCTTGGTTACCAAAAAGGCATTCATTTAGATTCATTTTTCTCAACTGTCCTTTTACTACATTTGGGAGAAGGTGTAAATAATACCTAAATAATTTCTCAAATGGTTTTCATACCAAAATAAATAGTAAAGAAAGCACATCATGTACACACTTTTCTATATTCTGGTCAGAGACATTAGAAAATGTTCATGAAACACTGTACTTCAATTTTCATGCATATTTGCTTTCCTGGGTGATCTGGTTAATGAAGGTTTAACTATCTGATGAGAAATATGTCTTCAGAAGACCTTACAAATTTACTTGTTTGAAGAGTTTTGGACAGCTGAGTGATAGAGTTATGAAATCTCAAATTATGCCTTGAGTTCTGATGACATAGACTGCATAACTTTGCCTCATCCTTTTTATTGACACAAGAAACTTTCCCATAAGAGGGAAAAAGTGCGGCTTTTATGTAGTGTCATCCAAGTGTATGTTATTCATTCCTTCTACAGAATTTAATGTATATTTTACCCCAAGGGTATATTTTCCTCAATGAGACTAATTTGCTCTAATGGGAATAATGATGTCTCCTATGCACCTAATACCTTTATCCCCCAAACCCTCATGTGCCTACACAGTTCCATGATGAAACATATGATCATGTGCACTTTATGGCCAGAAGCCATGGCTCATTTTACATACAACCCTACAAGTTAACCCTCTGTTTTCTCTCTCTCTCTCTCTCTCTCTCTCTTTCTTTGTCTCTGTCTAGGAGAAACAGCAAGTGTTAAGATAACTTTATTTCACAGCTAAAATATTATAGACAAGTCTGAGTCCAAAGGAAAACTGATGTACTTTTTAGCTACTCTTTAATTTAAAGAGGAAATTGAGGAGAGGTTTGAGGAAATGATAACTGATAGATACCTTAGCTATATCTGAATTTCCAACACAGAACTTAAATGACATATTTTTACACTATATTCTTTCCTCTTGGGAAAACTATGGGTGTGCACACATGTACAGTTCTAAAACTAAAACTGAGGAAACTATACTTACTCATATTGATTACAATTTGAGGACTTCATTTTGTGTCAGACTTAAAGAAATGAATAGAATTGATTATGAATGATAAAACTTCGGATTTAATACTGTATCTGAAAGATCAGTGATCTGTATAAACATTCTCAGCAGGTCTCCATCTGTTTGGAGTTGGCTTTCTGTTAGCTATCAGTTAATTTACTTTCTTTAATCTCATTTACCACTACATGCAGTGCAGTGCATTCATTTTTAGCAAGCAACAGCTGAAATCTACTGGCATGAAACATTTAGATTGCAAAAGGAAAATTAACCCAGTGTAGCAGTCTAAATTTTCCCTTTAAATACAGCACTAGCAGTGGCATTGCCTGGTTGCTGGATTGGCCTGGCCAGTGAGGGTTGTAAATGTACCATGCATTAAACAGCCCAGGAAGCCAGGGTGATTTAACCTGACTAGAAGAATTTGGACTTTTCTGTTTCTTGATTTTCTGGGGCTTAAATTTTTAGCCTTAAACTGGCATTATGAAGGGTATTATTTTTTACATTGAGTAGCAGGGGTCATTATTTTTCCCCCATACTAAAACGGGTGTCTCTAAGAACAGAACCATGTGTCAGGGCAGAAGGCAATCCCAAAGGAATTGCATAGAAATAGCAATAGCTTCGGCAATAAAAACTGCTAAGGGAATTTGTGTTGTCAGCTTGCCAGGCCATCAGATTCACACCTCTAGTCCTGCAAGAAGGTGCTGGGAGCAGGGAGGGGGGTTTAAAGGGCCCCCAGTGGCTATGACCTTGGCTTTCTGACCTTCTAAGTAGCAGTCAGCCACTGGTCCTGGGCTGGTGTCTAGATCCTTCGGGAAATGGAAGCCGCCTTCTTCCCCCCAATTCTCTGTATCTACCTAAGGAGTCTGTCAGGAATGGCAGCACTGGTACAGAGCATCGTACACAAGACACTAGCCCAGCATTTCTGGTGCTAATCTCTAGTTGTTGCAATTCCTCTTCTTCTCGTGCAAGAATTAAATTTACAGGCTGGATATGGCCCAACAACAGAACATTTTAATATGTAAAAACTTGTAACACGAAGCTGTGGGAATTGAAATAAAACATAAGAGGTTGTTATATTGTTTAAAAATCCTTCTTTACTTTTCTAAATTTTCCGAGACATTTCTTTCTCAATTTTGTCTACTACACTCATGCTTCCCAATTATACTGATTTTTCTTAAATAAAGTACCAGGTAAGATGTGTATTTGAAGATCTCTGTACACATTGTAAACCATGTAAGTTGTTTTCAGATGTCTAAATTCCTTCATTGTTTAAACTCTTTAAAATTATGTTTTCATGTTGAAAAAGACACACATTTAGTGAACAAACCCACAATTTGCCGCTTTTTCTGCAAAAAAAGAATTTGAGCTAATTCATATTAATCATAAAATGTTTCACTGATGGCAAAAGTGAATCATAGAAAGGCAGCAGTATCTCTCTGAAAAATAATTTCTTTTTGTACCTGGTGAGGAAATTCGTTCACTCTGCAAGAATAGTACTGTACTTTATCCCTCTTAGCTTACAGAACAGACGCTGCTGAGAGGTTCTATTTATTTCATTGTTACATCTCTGTCTCTTAATCTGCAGTGTACCCACTGAAAACCACATTGTTGGATTCTTCAACAAGTTTCCCAGAACTGCCTCCAGTCATTCGGGTGGAGAGGTTATACTGTCTCCTGCTGGCTCAGACACGAAACTTTCCACTGCAGGGTAGGTAGGAGGCCACCTCTTTCGCTGCTGGTGGTGGGGAGGATAGAGTTTTACAGAGGCAGGACGCTGTGCTGGCAGAAAGACTTAGAGAGGGTACTCTGGGCCCTTCTCAAACGGGCCTCTTGGGGCCAACTACCTTCTGGCACAGGGCCTCCCTGAGCCTGCCCAGGCTCCAAGAGGGGCAAGGGGCCGAGCCCAGCCACGAAGATGACCTAGAGCTTAGGACCTGGCTTGGGACGTTGCCCCGCTGTAGCCTAAAGGCTCCTGCGGGCCTGCAGAGCTCTGGGGATCCTGGCCAAGGTGCAGGCGGCGAGATCCTCCTCTGGATCAGTTTCTCTGAACCTTGATAACACCACCTTGTGGTTTCGCAGTCCAGGTCTTCAGGCTGGATGGACCAGGAATGATCCTACCAAACAAGGGTCTGGAGGACGAGAGAACGAATTCCCCGTGGGCCACAGCTAAAGCAAGTTTCCCATGCCAGTAAAGGTGACCCC